GGGAAAGAGCCACCGGTGGTCACTCGGGACCTCAGGAGCCTGTTCCCATTTGGAGCCGCAGAAACTTTTTTTTCTTTTTCCCTCTAAGAGCAGGAGAGTCGCTTCGGGGTGGAGGCTGCGGTGTGTGGCTCCCCCAGGAAATCTTTCTGGCCTCAGTTTACCTCCGAGGCCGCTTCCGGGGCTGGGAGCGGTGAGCATTCCTGAGCGTGCGAGGCAAATGGCGGTTGGGGGGTCCTGCGGGCGGGTCGGGGGCCCCGGGCTGGCGACCCCCGTGCGCGCCGCAGCCTCGCCGCTTCCCCGCGTTTCTAGGTCGTTTGCAGCCATTACACTGGATGTTTTAAGGAGCCTCCGTCTGATTCCGTTCAGGTTGAGGCAATTACGTCTTCATCGCTTTTGAGTTGGTTGAATGAGTTGACATGAGATTAAGCCCAACAAAAGGAAGGCCGGGCCCCAGCAGCTGCCGGCCGGGCCGTAGGTAGGGGTCTTGGGAGGCCCTTTCCCTTCCTTCCTGCGTGTCAGGAAGTTCATCAGCGCTTCTTTACTGTCCTTTTCCCGGGGAGTAGATGGGCCGCCTTGATACCCATAGACTTAAAGCGCCCAATTTTATAATATGTGGAGAATGAGTAATAGACCTAGGGTTTCTAATGGGTTTAGGGTCTGTAGTGACAAGTGCAGAGCAATCACCTAATGGCTTTTTGTCTGAAAGAATAGAACAATCGAACCACTAGTGTGTGCTTGCTTAGTTAATGTGTGCTGAGAACTTTTAAGGTGTGTCCTGAATGGTAGATGGCTTTTTCTGAGAAGTCATGTTTATTTTAGATACTGTTTTGTTCAATATTCCAAAGACTGTAGTAGTGTGTTTGTGTTTTTCAATCCTGGTGTTTCAGGTGAAGTCACCACCCCCCCCCACCCACCATTGCTGCCATATTTAATGTTATGTAAGTATTAGGTTCTAGAGACAGGGCCTTCTTTAAAAACCCAGAAGTCAATTTTATTATTTATTTGGCTCATTTGTTAGAATAGGGTTACTAATCTGATCGTTTGGAATTTTAGTTATTTGGTGTGAGGAGGAAGCCTGTAGCTCTGCACATTGATTTGCATGCTGGAGGAGGAAGTAGGGGGAAGATTACCACTTTTTTAGGTGGACACATATTTTAGTGTCCCACTTCTTTCAGTCCTTTTATCTTAACACCTTTTAACACTTTGCTGTTTGACTTTTGCCGTTTTTTTTTTTTTAAAGAAATAACTTGTGAGGTCGAAGTTTAGCAGTTGTCTTGGGTTCATATTATTCCCTTTCACTTCTTAATTAAAAAAAAGGGAACTAATATACCACTGAAATAAAGCTTGTAAAGTATTTTCCCCCTTCAGCCAGAAGAATCTGTTTAGATCACAGCGTAACCCCCTCCCTTCTGTGGGTGGTAGGGGAGGAAGGAGGAGGAGTGAGGGTTTTGGCTCTGCCTTTACTTTTAAGGTTTAAGGTGGAGGTGGATTTGCATTCTCTTTGTAAGTAAGCCTCCATGTTTGGCAGTGGAACTTCTGGGAGGAATAGCAGCCCAGTCGCCCTTTTAAAGAGGAAATCTGAAAATAAGACTTAATCAAGTCACTTACAAACTGATGAAATACTCAGGAATATAATGGCCTGGCAAGGACAGTCCCTTTGTCTCATTTCAGATAAATGCTCATCACTTTTCTCTCCTGTAACAGTGTTTATGATGAAATGGCATGTTCTTGCCACAGCAGGGTTGCCTTTTCCCAACTCCAGAGCACTCTTAATTCCGAGCCGCTTGGTGAGAGCCTCAGGGGTCCCGAAAGATGTGTTTTCCCACTTTATAAAGTTACATTCTTTTCTCTCCATTGTCACCAGCGTGATATTGGCTGATAAGGACTTTGGAGTAGTTTTAATGACTCTTGACTGCCTACAGTGTACTACTTATAAAAAAGAGATATGCTTTTATCTGACTCTGAAGGCTGTGATTGGCCTTCTCTTATGTTTTACAAGAAGCTTTGTTTCCACTTGCTCAAAAAAAATTTCAGTTTAAGGTGTGCCAATATGGCTTGTACGTTATGGGTTTTGAGGATGATGTGTATGACTTGTCTTAAATGGTTTAGTCCTAATTTCCTACTTCAATCAAATTCTGTAGCAGAATGGTTTAATAGGTGAACAGTGGCTAGGTATTTTCAAGCCTTAGGAATAAAAACATGAGACAGTTCTATATACTGATGAGCATGCCAATAGAATAAAACAAATGTAATGAGACTTTAAATTAAATGACTAAATTGGGATAGCTAGAATAGTTTTCACATTACCGAGGTGTTACAAAATAAAAACCTGAAGGTATTTACAGTCCAGGCATTAAAGGAATCCCAATCATATCAAATGCTCTAAATAGGGAAGGTTTTGGTCCCAACCTGTGAATTAAACCTCGGGCAGTAGGAAGAGAGAAGATTTGTCTACTCATCTCCAGATGTGGGGGAGGGGTGTTGACTAGTTTAAATGCACGTGGGAGACTGAGTTACACAAAGACAGCAGGAAATTTCTTAAATTTGGGTGAGGGAAGCTTGATCATTATACCTTAATGGCCTCATTTTGGGTGTAGCAGAACAACTCTACTGAAATGCTGGCTTAAGAATAAGGTGATTTAGCTTGTTTTTCTGCAACCAGTACTACAGTTAGGCACATGTGCAGTGGTATGTGGGGCAAAGGATTTTGAAGTGAGACCATGAGTGAGGGCAGATAGGAATCTGACTTTGAGGAAGTGGGAGGACAGGGACCATCCTTTCTTAAAATCTGCAGCTCTGATAAGCAAGCTCAATTCTTGTTATAAATCTATCTTCCTGATAAAGAAAAGGGCAGCCCTTGCCAGCGTCTGCTGTCTCCAGTTGTCCCTTTATGTCTAACATTGGGACCCTCCTGAAAAAGGGCATTGGAACACTTGCTGGCTGCCTGTTCTTCACATCCCCATTACTTCCTGCCCAGGGTAACAGCAAAGCTGAGTTACTGGAAATTTGGGTCCAGTTTGGTAATTTTATGATCAAGTTGAGAAATAAAATTACTAAACCTGAAAAGACAGCTGAGCAAGTTGTATGAGAGAATGAGTTTAATTCCTTAGGCTGTGTCCTTAAGCTTTACCAAAGATGCTGGTTTTTTTGTGGGCTCTTGTGTTTTGTGTATAGGTGTTCCTTATTTTCTAGTGTCAGAAAGCCTTTTGAATTTAAAATTGTTCAAAATTTATAGTGATATGGCCTGGAGATTGAGAGCCCAGATATGTTTTGTTCTTGAATCAGCATTAGGATAAATACTTGTGTGTGTTTTTCCCTACTTATATCAAATCTGGATAACTTCAAAAACAGTTCACTTATACCAGAAGTATTTTCATTAATCAGTGGATAAGTGTCGTTCATATATGAATCCACTGAACACTGTCTATATGTATTAATTGAAAAGAGTTTTTCTTTCTTAATTTTGAAAGCAAACAGGTGATTTAAAAGGGCCAACTTACAACTTTAGTATTTACTCTCTACAAAGACAGGGAGGGCAGTATTTATATGTAAAGAACTACCTCATGCCTTTAAAAGGCATTGACTGCCATGTTTATGTTTAATCTGAAGTTAAGTTGGGTACAGTTAAAAACACTCACTTTGGCCTTGAGGGAAAAGAGGTGTAGGGGTGTAGAGTAGTGGTATGGTATGGTATAATGCTTAAAGTTATTTGTATATCTGTTTATATACAAATATATATATGTGTGTGTACCTGTATGCATTCACTATTTTCTTGTAGAGAGTTAAAGAATACAGGCAAAGATAGAACAATTTGCTTTTTTAGTTCTTGCTCCCTCTCTTTGGTACAGCAATATTCTAAAATCTTTTCAAAATGTTAAGGTAGTACTGGTTAAGTCATAATAAGAACTCATTGATAGTAATGCTTAATCTTGCTTAATTAAAATTCTTTTTTTATCCATTTTCCTTATAGTTCTCTTTCAGGACAAGATAAAAAATTTCATTGCCAGTTTACAGACCACAGTATCTGTAATACTGATAATACTGAAACTAAAACTAATACACGGTGCTCTAAGTTCACATTAATATCCTTTAACTGACTTAATTGATTTGGAATGAAGCAGGCAGAGTTTTTTTATTTTTTATTTTTTCCTGAGGCAGCGTTTTTAATCATGACATTCAAATATGCTAATGTGATTACATTTTATAGTACTACTGTGGTTTCTAATCCTATTTAGAACTAACTGGGCACTTACATACAATTTCAAGAAAATGAGCTTATATCCTTTAGATTAGAATCTTCCCAAACTCTGCCTTTGAACAGTCATCTGGTTTTGAATAGTTTAGGTTGGGATGTTGAATATCAACTTTGAGTATTTTAATCTTTTTCTGTCACTTAACTTTTAAACATCTTTCTACAACTATTTTAGGAAAGTTGGGGGTTGACTCCTGGGTGTGACGTTGGTGATTTCCTTGAAATGGTCCTGAAGGATTTTAAATTACAGGTTTTGATTACTACTGTAGATTACTATATAGAGTTATCTCCACTAGTCAGATTAAGAAAAAATAGTATGTGTAAAATATGTTAGGGAAATTTCTATAAGAACTGTAAGTTTCCTTAACCAGATCTTGGAGATAATTTTACAGTTTAAAGGTTCAAGTGAATTCGTCAATGACTAGCAGTTTGTTTAGGTTGTATGTTTTAATAATCATTTTATTGGGCTCTTAACTGGGAGGGGGGTAGTAGATTTACTGGTTACTTCACAATGCGTGGCTATAAATAGAATTTTTATGTGTTTTGGACAGTTTTTGAGGACCATGAATACCTTACTGCTCCATACTATGGTAATGAGTAGTCCACATCAAGAAATGTAAAATACCTCTTATGAAGGACAGCTGTGCTGTCTCAGAAGGTAACAGTCTGGTTGCTTCCACACATAAAGAACAATATTTAAAGTTACAGCAATTATCAGCCTGGTGGCATTTACTTCTGACTTGTGCTTACACTTAAATTATTGTGCTTTTCATTAAGCTCTGTATAATTGTGTAATATTTGCTGATTTTTAGATCTATAGGGAGTGGCAGAATTCACAGTAGCTTTACTCACATTGGGTATCTTAAAAAACAAAACAAAACAGAAGAAATGACCTAAAAAACACCAGACTTCTATTTCAAGCAGTTAGAGCAATAGGGTTCCTATTTTTTTTAGAAAGATGGTGTTGTGGTAAATTAAAAAAAAATCTATTAAGGTAATCACAATATAAATAAAACCCTAGTGTTCTTTCAGAATGTAAGGTTAAACTGAAGAACTTCGTGCCTTTGGTGCCTTGGATATATATGGCTGAGGGTTAAGTGCTATTTATGAGAGTAAAGGTTCTAGGAAAAGTTTTTAAACATTGAAAACCATTTTTGCGAAGTGCTTTTTAGTAGCTTAGTGTGTTTGGAATGCTCCCTTTTCTGCCACTAAAAGCATTTAGAGTGTAAGTGTTGGGTTAGAATGTCCTCCTCCCTCCCCCCTCCAGTGCTTTGTCAAGAGAGACAATTGACATTATCAATAGTCATCGTTCTGTGGCTTCTGTGTGCTTCACATGAGAGCACTGAGGTCTGGGAAGGCTGTGTGCACTCACCCCATTCAGTTGGAAATGGTGGTTGGTTAACAGTAATTAGGTTAGAATGTCTATTTCTCCTAAGTTCTGTATTTATTAGAAAGCCTTTATTACAATCCCTCTAAATATTTTTGTTTAGCAGATTGGTTTTAAGTGACGTAGATACTGATCTATAATTTAAGGAAGTGTTTTGTCTACATATAATTTCTAAGGCAGGCGTCGGGGCATTTGCTATTAGGTTTCCCAAGCATGGCCCGCATTTTTGTTTCAGTGGGTCTATGAGTTGAGTGGTTGTAAACCAAAGTGATGGTTGCTTGTGCTGGTCAACTTTATGGTATGGTTACATGATTTTACTTTTTATTACTCTCTTGAAATTGCAGAGAATGGTAATGAGATGGCAGTGTGGAAGTTGTGATGAACATTCAAGTTAACAATATCAGGTGTGGTTGGTGACCTAGGCCAGAGATTCATATACTGACTGTACTATGTAGTACTATGTAGTGCTGTTCCTTTATTCACCAGGAGTTTATTGAGGGCCTAACTCTGTCCGGGGCCCCGTCTAGGCACGCACTGGAGGTGGTGGGGGAACAAGGTGACGGGGTCTCTGCTCCTAGGCCAGGGGTGGGCAAACTTTATGACTCGAGGGCCACAATGGGTTCTTAAACTGGACCGGAGGGCCAGAACAAAAGCATGGATGGAGTGTTTGTGTGAACTAATATAAATTCAAAGTAAACATCATTACATAAAAGGGTACGGTCTTTTTTTTTTTTTTAGTTTTATTCATTTCAAACGGGCCGTAGTTTGCCCACGGCTGTCCTAGGCTCTAGGCTCTTTAAAGGGGTGGTGACCCAGGGTTTTCAGTCTTGTGGGTGAGTAGCAAGAATTTCAGTGAACCAGGGTCCTCTAGTGCCTGGGACAGTTAGGCAAGTTACTGACTATCAGAATCTATCTCAGAAGCCTCCCCGAGGAAGAGCTTCAGTTTTCCCTGGAAGGGTGGTGTTCCCCCTGCCACCCTGGAGGACTCCTGGGCCTGTGCCATCTTCCCTCATCTTCAGGCCTCCACCCTGTTCACGACTCTCCCCTCTCGCCAGGCAGAAAGGAAAGCGCTTTTTCTTCCTTTACCAATCCTTTCGGTCTTTTGTTAGGCTGATAACCCAGATATTTAACATTTCAGAGATAAAAATGGAACCTCCACCGTCTTTCCAGGCTGCTTTTCCAGTCTTTGCCTGGTGGGAAGTCACAGTGATACCCACCTCATGTTTCTAATCCAGAAACTGGGTGTAGGTTGTGTCTTTTGGGGAAAGATTATTTTTAGAAAAGTGGAATTCCCCACTAACTTTGATTTTTGCCAAATTAGGACATTAAAAAAACAACAACATACCTTTACTAGGTGCCATTGCATCCTTTGTTTTTTTTAAAAAGGTTATTTTAGCACCAAAAACTAGAAAAGAGCTTAAATAGAGGGCAGTCTTTATTCAAATTGAAATGAATATGAACTCCTTGAGTTGTTTTTCTTTTTCTCACTTAGCTGTTGGCCAGTGAAAACAGTGTTGTCAGGGTTTGGTAACTGCTTTTCTAGAATATGTGCTGGTAATTTCTTCAGTTAAAATAGTACGCAGGATGCTGGCAGTCAGTAAATATTTGTTGAATGATAAATGCCTGAATAGAAACCTAAATGATCAGTCATGTATTCAAATATCATTTAGTGTTTTGATTAGTATAGTCATTAAGTATCCTTTTGACTATATCTGTCCATAAATATAGGTCTGTCCCCCAGAACCATAGAATTTTGGAACTATGAGGTGACCTATAATTTATCACCTTTCTGCCACTAAAAGCATTAAGTAGATATGGTTGAGATAATGTGGTGACCACTTTAAGGTTGTGACTCAGGCAGGACTAGAATTCAGGTTTCCGGAGTCTTCTATGATATCTCTCCAAGTTGGTAGTCAGCCCATGGCTTGACCCTCTATTGTGATGGCAAACAAAAGACTAAGAAATTAACACAGAATACTTCAGTGCATTGGAAAAGTTTAAAGTTTAGTTTTTTTCAAAATGAAGATAACAAGGAATATGAACAGTTTCTCTTTGATGAGTGTGAAGAAATGTTTCCTGGTCTTTGAGCTTGCTCTTTGAGGAAGTGGAGAGAAGGAAAGTAAACTTTTTTTTCTTCTTTAACGTTGCCTGCCTGTGGTGGGAGTAGTTTGCATGCCCTTTTGTTTTCTTGGGTAGAATTAACTGACTTCAGTTAAAGTAGTTGGGATTATTTAAAAACGGTTCCTATACTTGCTGTAAAGGTGGAGGGTTTTGGCTTTAGAGGTTAATTCTTCTCCAAGAGTGAAAATTGACTTCTAAATCAGCCATCAGAGCTAAATGCAGTCCCCCCCCCCCCCCCGCCCCCAGCCAGTGCACATGCGAAAGGTGGATACAAATGAAAGGACCCATTTCTGATTTCAAGACTAAGTAAGGCATATTGAACCAGTTATGTTGAGGATCTTATTTTAAACGTGTACATTCACAAAGTAGTGTTGTATGTATTTCCTTATTGGACAGGAAGCCTTCCCTGATGCTTGTTGAAGATAGAGAGTTGTCAAAAGCAAACTGTGATTGGGCAGTGGTTTGGGGTGTACAGTATCCAGTGAACCAGAATTTCTCATAGTTCCTTTGGCCAAGATGAACCACCATCTTGAGGTGTTCTGTATTTCTTGAGGGGAATTTTAGGAAAGGTCCCTATTTTGTGTAATCCCCTAGTGTGCTTTCAGGCATGTGTGTTTCTTGTCTGTTCTTTTGTATATATGACAGTTTGAAGCTCTGGCTTTTAAAATTTTACCTTTCTTTGTCATTCTTACAGTCTCTAGATTTGTACAGGCTGTTTATAAATATACAGATGTACAGTTCAGTGACATTTTAGATGTATTTATCTGAATTGGACAGTTTCTATCCTGAAACTGCACAGTTTGGATTTAAACCATTAAAGCACCATGTTTTAAATTTCCTAACTGGATGGAATTCTAGTGATGTAATAGGTGTGCTGATTGGATAAATGAAATCGTTATTTAATCAACAGCTTGTTTAACAGGCTGGCACTATGTTAAGTTATGCCTTCTCTGCTACATGGAAAAGGTCCCTGTGACCATGCACCCAGCCCTCTCTTTTGGGCCGTAGCTAACCCTTTCTGTTTTCCCCCTCTAGGTTTTGGAAATCTTGTCTCCAGATTGCTGGAATTGACTTGCTCAACTGACTCATTCGCTCTCAGTGGAGACAAAGAGAAGTAATGCTTTGTGCTGACTCATATTTGAATCAAAGCATCGCGGAAAGAACCAGTGATACTCTGTCATTGAGCTTCCTAAGACTTCTGAAGATAAGAAGTTAGAGGAATATACATTTTCTTTTGAACTTTTATAACAAATATTTGCTCTAGTTTTGAAGCCCAGGACTGCTGGGGGTGTGAGTGACAAGTATTACAAGTGGCCTTATTCCAACTCCAGAAATTCCTCAGCCAGATTCTTATTTTATACACAGTCCTGAAGTGACAGGAAACATGCCAACTCAGTCTCTCTTAGTGTATATGGATGGACCGGAAGTTATTGGCAATTCTCTTGGCAGCCAGATGGAGCTAGATGATGCCATGTCAGTAAAAGGGACCACCACTGTTCCTTTCAGAGCCACGCAAGAGAAGAGCATCATCCAAATCGAAGGCTACACGCCCTTGGACTGCATGTTCTGCAGTCAGACCTTCACCCACTCTGAAGACCTCAATAAGCACGTGCTGCTGCAGCACCGGCCCATCCTCTGTGAGCCCGCAGTTCTGCGTGTGGAAGCAGAGTATCTCAGCCCTCTAGATAAAGGCCAAGTGCGAACAGAACCCCCCAAGGACAAGAGTGGCAAAGAGAATGAAGACCTGAGCTGTGAAGTGTGTGGGCAGACGTTCAGAGTTGCGTTTGACGTGGAGATCCACATGAAGAAACACAAGGACTCTTTCACCTACGGGTGTCACGTGTGTGGACGGAGGTTCAAGGAGCCCTGGTTTCTGAAGAACCACATGCGAACACACAATGGCAAGTCGGGGGCCAAGAGCAAGCTGCAGCAGGGCTTGGAAAGCCCGGTCACCATCAACGAGGTTGTCCAGGAGCAGGCTGCGGAGAGCATCTCCTCTCCTTTCAAGATGTGCATGGTTTGTGGCTTCCTATTTCCAAACATAGCAA